TCAAACTTGCGTATACAGTTTTGGTAAACATGTAAATCTGTTTTAGTCTGTTAACAAACTATCTTGAAATATTTGTATCGATGGCTTTGAAAAAAAAGATAACGGTTGCATCACCTACAAGAAATATGAATAAAATATTGTTGTCTATAGGGAAACCTAAAATTTGATATTGCTCTGTGCCTTATGATCTTGCCAGAAATATTATGCAAATGATATTGCACAGACATATTTTTCATTTTTTCATTTTGCTTTACTTTAATTTCCATCCAATATTTGTCCCTAAAGTATGCTTATGATATCAAAGCATTTTTTATCCTTGTTTTACAGCAAAATCACACAGATAATGTGTTTTTGTTCTTTTGTACTTTAAAGGAACCCACTGAGGTCCAAAAGATAAAAAAACATTATTACTTAGATAAACAGGGGCACACAAAATGCAAACATATTGAATGAAAAATAAAACATGTACTTAGTATTAGCAAGCGATTGTTACCCCTATTTTTAGATAAAGTCATTTAAATGCTTTTCATATATGTGTTATTTTGCGCAATTAAAATGATTAATCTGGAAAACGGAGTCAGCGAATGATCTGAAAGTTTGCACACTCGTTATTGGTCCAGATCAACAAAAACTGGTTCACAAATCGTAAACATTATTTTAGACCCGTCACGTCAAAAACCTTGTAAGTCCCTTTTTAATAGGCTGCGGATGTTATTTGTACACTAAATTACACAATGTCAATGTTCACATTTAAATGCCTATTATTTCTTAACCAGTTTCACGTTGTGTAGATGGTAATTTGGATAAAATAGAGTAAACAAGAATCACTAAATAAAGCCCAACACGGCAAAATTGAAAATGTTGCAGGCTCGGGTTGATTGAGCCTGTTCTTGGACTTGTTCATAAACCAATACAATTCGAAACTGTCTCAATTAAACCGAAACGACTATAACAATTTCATTATTTTGTACCGTGAAATTAACAAGAAAACATTTTATTGAATAAAGATGTACTTTAAGCAACGAAGCTGAAGATTTTTGATGTTATAATAGAAAAAGAAATAGGTTATTACGTACACATAATCGCGAACAGAGCTGTATGTGTGTAGCAGCATAAAGGAGAATTTTATATGAGTTACTGGAATAAACTATAATATTTATGGATAAATTCAGTAGTTTATGTGATGTTAACAGCAAACTTACAGAAATTTTATAAATACGCAATTATACACAGGCTAAATGTATATTTACTGCTCTCATAAAAGACCTTGACCTTCAATGTAAAATGTTTGAATTTTGTTTCAGTTTGCTATAGCTTGTCATATATTTGTTATTCATATCTGGATTTGATTTATACCTGGGAAAAATAACACTTATAACAAAACTGACATGTTTATAGTAATTTAAATATGATCTCTCTTGTTGAATAGATGTAAAAAGTTATATTCAAAACGTTATCATTATCTTTAATCCAATCTACATATTTATAGTCTATATTGAGTCAGACATGAATATTGAGTCACACATGAATATTTAGCTATATGAAATGTTTTGAAAGTTCACTTTGTATACCAACGGTATCTTTCAGTACACCGTGTATTCAAAGTATTAATGTGTCATAGTTCAAGCTCCAAATCAAAACTTATTTGATTAAATTATAAAAAATAAGAATCGAAATATTATTCTAAATTCAAATATTCCGACCAAAAATTAAACGTGTAATAAGATGTACTCTTTCATCTTTTTTTGTCTGTTTGTTTGTTTTTCTTTTGTTTTTGTTTTTTTGTCTTTTTTTCCACCTTCGGTTATTATATAAATATTGCAATATTGCCAACAAGATTCTGTCAAATAATACAAAATATTAGTAAGAATCGTCGTAATAATATAAAGTATTTTTTTATTTAAACATCAAAGTAACTGTGAATTAATCGTTCCATACTATGATAACCAAAGTTCTGTTAGTCAGCAATTACTCTTAAATATTTAAAGTTTTTACACTAATGTGATGAATGTATTTATTGTTTATAAATCCCGAATTTGCTCGAAAGGTACCGATAAGCTACGAGAACTCATTAATTCTCACATCTGATATGTATTTTCTATTCATGTTATTTGTTTGTGGGAACAACACACAGACATGTTTTTTTATATTATGCGATATAAAAGCTGGCGTCTCCCAACTGGGAAAACATAACGTGCAATTATAAATTGCAGATTCAGACGTAAATGATAATTATAGAAGCTTGTAATAATTCATATTTGTATCGACTTTGTAACCAGCATTTATTTCCTACAATAATGTATTTGCACCAAGAATATCCTGATAAGGATGGATATGAATACTCGTTTAGTCATGCCTCCTTATCACATTTACAAATATAATACACAAAATTCATATGTTTAATTGGATCAAGCATTATAAAAAGTACTAAAACATTCTTTCCATTTCTTTAAAACAACATTTACATCTTTAGAAATTATATTTTGTATGAGTAGATGACATATGTGTTAACAATGGAAACAAGATTGTTTATATGAAATTTACGTCCCTTATCAATACTCATAGTGTAAAGCTCTGAAAATCCATGTTTACTATAGATGATTAAATACAGGGATTTTTCCCAAACTAAATATTATTTGAAAATGTACCGCTGCACTAATGAGTTGAAAGGTCACAGTCGTACTTAGAAGTCAGAGGAAAACACTCGTCCATTTCGGAACTTCTACAAACATAGATGAATAGTAAAATTAATTATGAGACAATTTCAAGCAGAGTTTTGTACACAAGAAAGCGTCCATGGTAAAATTTGATGAAAATTTCCTGGAATGTTCCTAGCATGACGATCTACTAAAATCGTTCAAATGATACTGCTACATTAAACATTTGGGTCAAAAGGGCTGAAAAATAGCTTTTAAAGATGAAATCTTAACAATTCTTCTAAACTCTTCTTCTCTCAACATCTATATGGTAAAAACTTTAAAAGGTATTCTTCTCTATTACCATGGAGGCAAAAACTTAGTTAGCACGAAACATTGCCTAGTGAACTTCTGACAAGTTTGTTTAATATAGCCATGGGATCTGATTTTGCCCCACACGTGGGTCATGGAATTTTACTTATAAATATTAAGAAAAACCTAAAAAAAACTTTTTCTCTAAAAACCTTTGAGGTAAACTTAGACATGTGGCATGAAACATCGTCTAGTAGACCTCTACCAAGTTTGTTTATATTATAGAGTTTTGATTTAAATTCGTCCCACCCCGGGGTGGTCATCAGTTTTCCTAATATGTATATAATAGTTAAACTTTAAGTTAGTTATTCTGATTCTGGTTGGTCCACTCAAACTGATACATCAGTCCATTGTTATAATTTAATGTGTAAGTTTGTTCGAAACCACTTAAGGCTTCATCGTTAAAATCAGAAGTAGTTGAAAGTAGCAGTTGCTTTAACAATCAACAGATGTAGAGCAATAATTGTAATAATGTTAGTAGCAGTTGAAACAAGATAATGTGTTATTGCACAAACGGCAGCAGCAGCAACAACAACAACAGAAACCGATGAAGTAGCAATGAAAAAAGTTTTAACTGCAGCAAAAGTAGAGGTTTCGTCAAAAGAGGATATCTTAGCAGCAAAAAAGAAATTAATAGCATTAGCAGTTCAATTCGGACTGTAGTAGTAATAGTAGTAGCAATAGCAGTAGTAAAAACAGCAGTAGTAGCAATAAGTGCAGCTATAATTAACGTGTAATACCACTAGAAGAAATAGTTGTGAAAAAATGGGAGCAGCATCATAAGCAGTTGAGGTAGTAAACGATGTAAACGATGTAGAAGTTGTAGCAGCAAATGTACCAGTATCAACAGTATCAAACGGAGTATGCAATTGATATGAATTTTGCACTAAGCCAACTTCTTTTGCACTTCATCAAAACAACTTATTGTACTGTTTTCATTAATGTAACAAATGTTTTAGTTCTGGTACATGTTGTACATTCCGTTTTACTTTACTATGATAACATAGTGTAAGATAAGACATGTAATAAGATAAATATGTGATTTATAAAAAGAAAAAGAAACAGAAACCTTGAAACAGAGGTGTTTAACCCCTCGAAACGTTGGAGATAGAAAAGTTTGTGTAGTAGATAATTATTAACTAACTGTTTCCAGAATGACTTTACTACGAATGCGTCCGAATTTCATAGTTATGTTTCAGGCCAAAGTGTCTGTCTATTATTTGTTAATTGCTTTGTTGGTTCAGCTTTGTGTTTTGCCGCTTGTTCACATTTAAAAGGCATTGTTGTTTCAACATTGATTGGCTTTATTGATATATTTTCTCTTCCATCTCTTTCATTTTTACTTCTATCATACTAAATCATTTAGAACTTTATCAACATTTTTAAATACAGAAATATTTTATAAAAATACCAATATATTACATTGCTATTTCTTCTTTATTAATATTTGAAATAGTTAAAGAAAATCTTCCTATCGTAGACCAATCCACTTTTAAATTACTAAATGCATCTAACAGTTTTTAAATGAAATTTATTAAATGCATATTTCAATTTTGACTATAAATGGATAATGTATAACAAGATCCTTTAAACCCAATGCCAACTTGTCATTGTGGCAATTGAGACACAGCTGATTATCAAGAAATTATGTACCATTTGAGTCATTAAAACATACTTTTTTATTGATTATATTTCATTACACCCTTTTAAGCATAACCACCCTGTTAGAAAAAACATCTTCAACACAATTTTACGTGCTTCACAGTGTATACTTCAAGACACATCGGTAGACCATAGACTTTTCACTTGAATATTTTTCAAATGCGAAATAACGACGTTAAGGTTGCGGTTTTGTGTGATTTTGAAAGAACTCCATCCATTTTAAAAAGGGATTATCCACAGATTCCCAATTAAAAATGCCATTTTCAGCTATTTTAGTGGATATTTTAAGATGTATTTTAAGGGAAAAACAACAAAAAGTACATCTGAAAATATATTTAACACAAAATTTATTTCATTTTGTTATAAAAATACAGCATATTATCACAAATAAATCATGATTTGTTCCGCCAGCAGAACATTTAGCAGTTCTTTCTGCGAGATAGCAAGAATCCAAAAATGCTAAAATGTTCTGCCGGCGGAACATTAAATAAAAAATAAATTAAGCTATTTTACAAAATAGTTCAGTCTTAAATTGTTCCGCCAGCGGAACATAAGTATGAAAACATGTATTAAAACGTACTAGGTTATACACATAAGTGATTCTGTTCTACCGGCGGAACATTTATTAATTACAACATACCACAATTCTAAACAACCTTTGCAAGATTTTGTAACAAATGCATTTCTTAAAGTAAAAATCAAATAAAAGAACTCATTGGAATTGTTCCGCCAGCAGAACAAAAATATGATTCCAGTCCATATGAATGCAAAAATAAGATAGAACCATAAAAAATCCTGTTCCGCCGCCGGAACATTTACTTATAACAACATATCAAAATTCTTAACAACCTTTAAAGGTTTAATAAAAAATATAACTCAGAAAGAATATCATTTAATAAAATTGATTTGAAATTGTTCTGCCGGCGGAACATAAGTATGATAACATCAATTTTAACATAGGATATAACCATAAAGTATTCTGTTCTGCCGGCGGAACATTTATTTATTACAAAAAAAAAATCTTAACCTTTTTAGGTTTAATCAAAAATATAATTCAGAAAGGATATCATTTAATAAAATTGATTTGAAATTGTTCTGCCGGCGGAACAAAAGTATGATAACATCAATTTTAACATAGGATATAACCATAAAGTATTCTGTTCTGCCGGCGGAACATTTATTTATTACAAGAAAAATCTTAACAACCTTTTAGGTTTAATCAAAAATATAACTCAGAAAAAATATCATTTAATAAAATTGATTTGAAATTGTTCTGCCGGCGGAACATTAGTATAACATCAATTTTAACATAGGACATAACCATAAGTGATTCTGTTCTGCCGGCGGAACATTTATTTATTACAAGAAAAATCTTAACAACCTTTTAGGTTTAATCAAAAATATAACTCAGAAAGAAAATCATTTAATAAAATAGATTTGAAATTGTTCTGCCGGCGGAACATTAGTATGATAACATCAATTTTAACATAGTATATAACCATAAGTGATTCTGTTCTGCCGGCGGAACATTTATTTTATTTATTACAAGAAAAATCTTAACAACCTTTTAGGTTTAATCAAAAATATAACTCAGAAAGAATATCATTTAATAAAATTGATTTGAAATTGTTCTGCCAGCGGAACATTAGTATGATAACATCAATTTTAACATAGGATATAACCATAAGTGATTCTGTTCTGCCGGCGGAACATTTATTTATTACAAGAAAAATCTTAACAACCTTTTAGGTTTAATCAAAAATATAACTCAGAAAGAATATCATTTAATAAAATTGATTTGAAATTGTTCTGCCGGCGGAACATTAGTATGATAACATCAATTTTAACATAGGATATAACCATAAGTGATTCTGTTCTGCCGGCGGAACATTTATTTATTACAAGAAAAATCTTAACAACCTTTTAGGTTTAATCAAAAATATAACTCAGAAAGAATATCATTTAATAAAATTGATTTGAAATTGTTCTGCCGGCGGAACATTAGTATGATAACATCAATTTTAACATAGGATATAACCATAAGTGATTCTGTTCTGCCGGCGGAACATTTATTTATTACAAGAAAAATCTTAACAACCTTTTAGGTTTAATCAAAAATATAACTCAGAAAGAATATCATTTAATAAAATTGATTTGAAATTGTTCTGCCGGCGGAACATAAGTTTGATAACATCAATTTAAACATAGGATATAACCATAAGTGATTCTGTTCTGCCGGCGGAACATTTATTATTACAAGAAAATTCTTAACAACCTTTTTAGGTTTAATCAAAAATATAACTCAGAAAGAATATCATTTAATAAAATTAATTTTAAAATTGTTCTGCTGGCGGAACATAAGTATGATAACATCAATTTTAACATAGGATATAACCATAAGTGATTCTGTTCTGCCGGCGGAACATTTATTATTACAAGAAAATTCTTAACCTTTTTAGGTTTAATCAAAAATATAATTCAGAAAGAATATCATTTAATAAAATCAATTTGAAATTGTTCTGCTGGCGGAACATAAGTTTGATAACAACAATTTAAACATAGGATATAACCATAAGTGATTCTTTTCTGCAAGAACCAGCAGCTAAAATACCATACTAGATTTTAAGATAAAATTTGTTACAATATTACATAAAGGAAACAACTTCAGAAGGAAGTCTCAACTAACAACTAGCATCTATATATTTACTCACAAAAAAAAAAGAAATTTAGTTTGTTAAATTAATACAGAATCCAACTAATTTTCTCCTAAGTAACTACAATCAACTTAAAGGGTCACTCCACTGAGGTTTTTTGACATGATTGGACTGGAAATAATTTTTCCAGTAAAATGTACCATTTGATGTAGGTTTAGACCACTAATCTTTGTGCAAAATTTCCGATCATTCGCGCACTTAGTTTTTCCAGAATAATAACAAAACAAATGTATTCAAATTGTAAAAAATGACCCAAAATGAAAAGCGTTTTAAACCCTTTTCACTCAATTCGGGCTAAGGAAAGCATAATAATACGATTTTCTATTTATTTCAAAGTATATTTCTTAACTATCTTTGCATATATTTCTGTTTAAAGTGTCCCAGCTCAATTATGTAAGAAATTCAAATGTTATGTTTTTAGGCTTTTAAACCTCAGTGGAGTCCCTTTTTAAGACTGCGAAGCTTAGTCTCAACTACATTTTTGCGACACAATCATTTTAGGTGAATATGAACACTTTAACCATGACGTAAAATTGGTCATTGATGATAGATATGATCTGTGGTTAACCAACATTTGAAACATTTTATATGGACAATAACTTGGCATTTTGCCAAGAAAACTCTTTTATATGTCTAGTTATAGTAACATATGTCACATTCTGTTCCCTCTTTTTTAGTACTTCAGTATAATCATTTATTATTGAAATTATCCTCATGAAGGTCTTGAAAGACCGAAACCGGTAAATCCTTGAATAAACGTACCAGTTACAAACCATCCAGATGTTTGACATGTGTTCTCTCCTTCTCTTGATTTACTTGTTAAAATATACATGTATAATCATAAATGATTCTGTTCTGCTGGCAAAAATTTAACTTATTGCACGATGAAGTATAACAAATTCTGAACAACCTTGCAAGATCTTATCAATCAGTTTTTTCTCTTTAATTAACACATATAATTCATTTGATATTGTTTTTCTCCAAAATACCACTGCATCTTCATTTCCAGATAATAAATAACTCACTGTTTGTTTCCGTTTTTCTATTCTTGAAATATCAACAATCTAAAATCTGCCAAAAAGAGAATCCGCTTTAAATCAGGGCAGGTGTCGCTTACTTTTTCCCAAGTCTGCCTTTGTGAAAACAATATTCAAATAACTTTTTACAAATTTGTAGTGCTAAGTCAGGTTTACTTGTTGAGCTCTGTACATGTTTATAATGTATAATTTTTTGTAAAAAGCACCATTTTCTCCAGCCAATCATTTAAACACTATTTGTCTGAGTCCAGATTTGTTATTGCAATAGTTTGGTAGGTCTTTTTTACAGCAATGTAAGATTAATTTAAGCCCTAACCCAAGCAAAACACCTGGGAGATATGCATGTGGCATGTTCATTTTTTAGTCCTTCCATTAGTTCTTTCTTTGTATAAAATGTACACAATTTCTTAAAAAGAACTATTTTCTCTATTAAATAGTTTTAACAACATTTGTGTGATTCTGTTGCAGATTTGTTTTTGTATTACTATTATTTTTGTAGGTCTTCGCTACATACGCTAAATATAAGGCCCAAAGCCCTAACCCAAGCAAAATGTCCAGTAGAGAAGCCTCAAATGATAAATTTTGTTCATCCATTCTTTTTAGTTGGCCATTGCATCTATCATTTGTGCATCCTTCAATAACTTTAAGATCTGGCCTTGTCTCACAATCCGTAGAGTGAAGTTTCTTGTTTAAGGAGGTATCTTATCTTCATGCTTATGCCCGACTGGTAAAAATGATAGGTAGATCTGAAAAAAAACCCACACAAATGATATGAATTAGGTTATCTATCACACTGGCCACAGCTTTCGCATAGCTGTGGGTCCATCGGACAAGGAAAAGTAACAAAGGGCAATAATTCTGTAATTAGTGAAGATGGAGTTAAGGTTCTTATGCACTACACTTCCTCTCAATGTGCTTGACAATTGTATGAAGTTATATTGAATTCCAACCATAAGTCTTCAAGTTACGGTCCGGACAAAAGAATTGAAGCAATGGAAAAGTAACAAAGGGCAATAACTGTAATAACTTTAGGTAGAGTTATGGTTTTTGTGCACGGCACTTCCCCTTATTGTGCTTGACCATTGTATGAAGTTGTTTTGAATTCCAGCTTGTAGTTTTCAAGTTATGCCCCAGACAAGGAAAAGTAACAAAGGGCAATAACTCTGTTATTAGTGAAGATGGAGTTATGGTTTTTGTGCACTGCACTTCCCCTTATTGTGCTTGACCATTGTATGAAGTTGTTTTGAATTCCAACCAGTAGTTTTCAAGTTATACTCCGGACAAGAAAAAGTAACAAAGGGCAATAACTCTGTAATTAGTATAGATGAAGTTATGGTTTTGTGCACTGCACTTCCCCTTATTGTGCTTGACCATTGTATGAAGTTGTTTTGAATTCCAACCAATAGTTTTCAAGTTATGCTCTCGACAAGGAAAAGTAACAAAGGGCAATAACTCTGTAAATAGTGAAGATGGAGTCTGATTCTTGTGCACTGCACTTCCTCTGAATGTTCTTGACCATTGTATGAAGTTGTATTGAATTCCAACCATTTGTCTTCAAGTTATGCTCTGGACAAGGAAATTGCAATAATTCCAAAATTAGGCATAACAGAGTTACTGTTCTATGCACTGCACTTCTAATCAATGTGATCTATCAACCTACAAAGTTTCTTGATGATATCTCTTATGATTTCCAAGTTATGTCCCGGACAACTTCAAAAAGTAAAAATAAACAAAGGGCAATAATTCTAGAATTAGACAAGGCATAGTTATAATTCTTGTGCACTGCACATCTACCCATTGAGATATATCTACCTACAAAGTTTCATGTTGATATCTCTTATAGTTTTACAGCTATGTCCTGGACAAGATTTTTCTAAAAGGGGAGATAATTCAAAAATGAGGCTTATCAGAGTTATGGTTCTTTTGCACTGCACCTCTACTCAATAAGATCTATCTACCTATAATGTTTCATCTTGATATCTCTTATAGTCTTAGAGTTATGTTCCGGACAAAGTTCAGAGAGATAAAATTAACAAAGGGCAATAACTCCAAAATTAGGACAAAAAGAGTTATTGTTCTTATGCTATGCACATCTACCCATTGAGATCTATTCACCTACAAAGTTTCATGTTAATATCTCTTATAGTTTTAGAGTTATGCCCCGGACAAGATTTTTCTATAAGGGGAGATAATTCAAAAACCAGGCAATATAGAGTTATGATTCTTTGACACTGCACTCCCCCTCAATGCCCTCTACCACTGTATGAAGTTTCAACAAATTATCTCCAAAGGTTTTCAAGTTATGCTCCGGACAAAACAACGGACGGACAGACGAACGGATGTCCATTCTAACAGGAGAGTAATAATGTGGCTACTCTATTGTTCTCTCTATTGTTCTTTTTAGCCACACAAAAGAAAATAGCCACATAAAAGAATTACGGAATGAATGACATCAAAGAGAAAGAACAGTTACCTATTGTCCCTCTAGCCACATAATTACTGTCTTGTGAGTGCGGACAGACAGACGGACGTACGTACAGACGGACAAGGCGCCGACTATATGCTCCCCCGAAATTTTTCGGGGAGCATAATAATTGATATTGTTTATAACATCAAATAAACATGTTTCTCAGATGTCAAAGTAAGAAAAGGGTTGTACTCAATTGAAAAGTGCGATACGTCAAGTTAAACCCTCAAAATATAAATAAATGGTATCGGGCCCACCACACTGCGTTTTATTCGAATCCACCGCTGTCTGCGTTGAAATCATTTTTGCCATTTCTTTTATAAACAGGCAAAAATAGTTTCCCAAATTTCCAAAAATATATGGTTATTTTGTGAAAGTATCATTCATACGATGTGATGCCGTTGTATTATGGGGTCGTTTTGCACACATTTGTACATGTTATAACCAAAATTAGGCAAAAGTGGCGTCCCCACGTCAAACTGTACAGAAGTGTTTGCATAAACGGCAATGTATTGCACCGTGTGCGTGTTATAAGTTGAAAGAGTACACATGTGGGCTCCAGTCGCACTAAGTGTTTCCAGTAGAACACTAAAACATAGAACAAAATTCAGTCCTATACTTACTGACAACAGCAAACGGCCATATTTTATCCACCGCTTCTGCGACGAATACTCCACCACCACGGCTGAGATGGACCAACCGCTTCTGCAAACACTATGGTTAGTGTGTCTATCATCTCTTCTTATATTTAATTTTGCAGCATTATAAACACGCTGGAAAAAAAATTTAGTACATACATAATACTCCTAGAAAATGTAACTGTGTTAAACAAAATATAATTCTGACAAATATCATATTTAACATGAGATTCATCGAGAGTTAATACAATTTAGGCAAATTTCAAAGGACTAGGTCATTTTTAAATAATTCAAAATGCTCGTTTTGTCCAAGTACATGTATGAACAAAATCTGTACAAAAAAAATATAAAAAATTAAAGCAAATTTCAATAACTTAACCTTGACAGTCAAGGACAAATTATGATGGTCAAGGTCAAATAAAAATCATGGAAAATATGTGTTTTGTCATAAGATTTTTTTTCCCGGTATAAATCAAATCCTTGAATAAATAAGAGTGATGACAATCTAAGATAAGGTCAATATTTTAACCTTGACATTCATGGTCAAATAAAGATCAAGGTTAAATCTTAAATACTCAACATGTCGGTTTTGTTATGAGAGTTCTTTTGCCCGAGTATAAATCAAATCCATGAATTAATAAAAAAGTTATGTGCCTGCTGCACAGTACTTTCTTATTTTTCAAAAGTTCATGTAATGCAGGCTTTTTTCTTTTCAAAAAATATATTGAATTCGCAATTACATTTTTGTGTATTTACAAAGAACTTAAAATAAAGCAAATTTGCCCAAAAGTTTTTTTATGATAGCATTACCCAAAATATAATGTTTCTGGTGCTTGTTGATAGTCTTACTATGAAAATGTTACAAAAATTGCTATTAAAAATTAATATGTTTATGAGGAAAAAATACAATAATGTAAAAGTTGTAGGAAACACAAGTCCCTGTAACAATTATTCCATCAAACTATTTAAGATGCTCACTAAATCTCACATAAACTGTAACTGGAAAGGGAATTTAAAGCTAAGACCAGGGCATTTTTTGTCAAAATTGTGGAGGGGCCTGGGCCTGTTCATTTTGTGAAACAAAATGACATATTTCCTGGCATTTGGCAACATTTTGAAACTGGAAACAGTTGATTATAATTTCTGACCTGTGTAAAATCTGCTTCAAGTCGATACTTTAACCCGGTGAACATGCGCAAAAATCATTAAACTTGATTAAAACTATTTCTGTGTTATTGCAATTGGCATAAATCAATTTAATTTTACCGGAAGGTGCAATTTTGAATTGTGAAGGGGCCTTATAATAGCCCCTGTTATAGAAGGAAAAAAAGCCCTGAAGATACCAAAGTTACAATGAAAAATGAAGAAATAAAGTATTAAAATCATGTATTTATATAAAAAATTATAACTTATGACCACCAATTCCTTAATTTTGAAAAAAAACTGTATTTTTCTAATATGAAAACAAAATTATTTATTTTGAAATAAAATTAATATGTTATTTTTTAACATCAAGTGGACCTTTAAGTTTATTAGGATAATATTTATGCTTATAGGAATTTTGAACAAAATTAATATAATCTTTTGTTATTCTGTGTTTTCAAAATAAGGGTACAAAAGGTGACGGATGTTACAGAAATAACCAATGATTCTTTTTACAATAATACTAAACTTATCTTGTTCGGGATACGGACAAAAGCCCCCCCCCCCATCTTAAAATGACAAGGTGGACAAAAGCCCCCCGATTGAAAATTTCACATATGGACAAAAGCCCCCGTATGAAATTTCACATAGGACAAAAGCCCCCCCATAAAAAAGTAAAGGTAGGACAAAAGCCCCCCCCCCCCCCCATAGTCAATCAAATTTACATATAACTAAGTGTATTAAAGTTGTGTTTTTTATGTGTTTAAAAGATATGTTTGGACATCACATGTAGGTGACATAGTGCTTAGGATATTAATTTGATCCCTTTACAAAAGTGATTAAACATTACTTAACTCTTCTGACACTTGTTGTGTATATGAAAAGCTATGAATTTGGTATCGCATGCATACATTATTTAATTTTTTATCATAAACTTTGTTATCACTTCAATATATACATTATAAATAAACATTAAAACAAATTCTTTTCATTTTTATTTAAAAGTTTGTGTGAAATTTGATGAATTTGAGCACCTGTGCAGTGAAAAAAGATGGGGGGGGGGGCTTTTGTCCTACCTGTATTTTTGATGGGGGGGGGGCTTTTGTCCTATGTGAAAATTTCATGGGGGGGGGCTTTTGTCCACCTTGTCATTTTTAGACGGGGGCTTTCGTCCGGGGGGGGGCTTTTGTCCTACACTCATCTTGTTCTTATGATGCATGAAAGAGAAGAAGTATGCTTATGTTTAAGTGCTGAATTCTGCTTAAGCCGGGGCATGGACGTTATCTTGCACTTTCCAGTACCGTCCATGAACAGGCACAAAGACAAACCGAGCCTGCAACATTTTCAATTTTGCTGTTTTTGACTTTCTTTAGGGGTTCTTATTTTCTCAATTTGCAACTGTTTAGGAATGTTTCATAACATTAAATACTGATAAAAATATAAGAACTAGAAGAAACAAATACAAAATCCAAAACAGGATAATTTTTTTAATATAAAAGAGTTTCATAGGTTAGAGAACTTGAAAGTATCTTTTTAATTAAAATTAGTCAATTGTTAAAAGATACTAGGTAAACTAATCATCTATCCAAGCCCCTCATAAAACAATGGGATATGGATCCATTAAACTATATACACACAGATGGGGCTGGCACTTTATTGGAAGTTAATGAGCTGTTTATTGGGAGCTGTATATTGGGAAGTGTAATATATTACAGAACAGTAGAGGTGCCAATAAAGGGTGTTATACATATATACTTCATTAAAAAATTGGGAAGGACTACCATATCAGTGTTACAGAACGCCTGTAGATCAATTAAGTCACAGTATTTATCGAACTTAAATTTTATTGGCTAAAGATGTAGTCAATTTAAAAAAAGAAGCAAAAAATTTAATTCAACACCCTGACTCAAGTTGTTGTTCTTTTCAAAATTCTTACCATTTGACCCATTTAAACATTATTAATAAAGTGGATGAAAAGGATATGGTTAGGATTCCTGTACTGAAAAAGTTGGAATAATTGTGACAATTTGTCTGTAAATGTTTTTGAATCTATAAGTTTTATTGAATGACAAATGAATTCACAGTTAAGCAGTTCATTTTCACTGAAATATTTACACAGAGAACTATTTAAAGTTAGAAATAATGAGCTTATGACACAGTGAATCATAATGAATCTTTGGATTATGTTGCTGACATTCCACATAAATAAACTTAAAATTTCATCAAATCAATAGAAATTAATTTCAATAATTAAACATCTTGATTTTTTCATGTAAATTTTTAATTGTTAATAATTAATGTGCATTAAGTAATGAGAAAATCACGCTTGCATATGTTTCAATCTGAAAAATTCTCATTTACTTCACAGTACTGTATCATATCATTTGCAAAGATAAATCTTATCCTATAACTATAGTATTTTGAAAATGATTTCATGTATAGAAAGGTACCGCTGGTATGACATTTTATCTTTAACACAGTGTAAATGCATTATCTAGGAACAACCATTCTTTTAGCAATTTTGTTCTTATTTTATTCCAAACATTTCTAAGTTCCTTTAAATGTAAGATAACTGGAAGAAAACTAAACATTTCAATGTTCATTCAAATATAAAATAACGGGAAGAAAACTAAGCCAATACAACTTTTCATTGTGAAACACGAAAAGTAAGAAACTCCTTCGGCTGCAGTCTCACTTACATCCTGGCAGTGCCCGGAAAACGTCCAGGCTGATCCAGGAACGACCAGGGTACAATTTGGAACAACCAGAGTACATCCGTAACTCTGCCAGCAACGTCCGGAATGATCTGGGTACATCAGGCATTGCCCCTGCGAGAATTCCATGAATAATTCATGAACTGTTCATGAACATATTCATGGACAAGTTCATGAATGTGCATGAACAACAAATGAGACTTTTTTTTGTTCACGGACAATTCATGAATCAAGATATTCATGAACATGTTCATGAATATATGTTCGTTAACATTCATGAATATATCGATTCATGAATTGTCCATGAAAGAAAAAAAAGTCTCATTTGTTGTTCATGCACATTCATGAACTTGTTCAAATGCACATTCATGAAATTGTTCATGAATATGTTCACGAACAATTCAAAAACTTCTCCCAGGGGTCATAATAATGTGACATCACAATCAATTTTCATTTAATTCTAAGACTGCTGATTTGTACCAGCCATAAAATGCACAATAGACAGTGTTTTAGTACAAATACAAAACACAAAAGCCCATTACACAGGTAATGAAACTTGTTAAACACTGTGCTCATTGATTCCCCATGTACAAATTGAATTGTCATTAGAATTCACGACTTGCCAGTTTGCTCTTCAATTTATTTCTTTGACACAATTTTCCATAAGATTTTATATAGTCCATTATGTAAATACATCACTTTTTCTTCATTTTGCTAAGTCATTGTTATTTATTCCATTTTTAAGTAAGTTTGCACCGAAAGTTTGTTAAAACACATGTAGAGCTTTGTTTCTGGCAGCCATGTTGACTTTTGCATTATGGGTGTTACCAAGGTCAGTCAACTCTTGTTGATGATCAGTGAGTTCATGAACTCACGAGAGTTCATGAACTGAAATTTTTCAGTTCATGAACTGAAATTTTTTCTAACACTAAAAAGTATTCACATGGGTTAAAATTGTAAAGACATTAAATTTGTTTTTAAAGTTCATGATTATTGTCAGCTTGTTCATGAACATACCAAAATGTTCATGAACAGAGCAAGAATGATGCCAAAATGTTCATGAACACATCAACATGATCGTGAACAGACATACATATTCATGAACTTGAATGTTCATGAATATTTGTTCATGAACATTTCTGCCAAGATGATGAACAATTGAAAGATGTTCATGAATATTCATGAACTGTTCATGAAAATTCATGAATTGATGAACATGCTTTCGCAGGGGGTCGAGCCCGGATGGAAAAAAATATTTAATATCACTGGGGTGGTACGGTAGAGCCCTGGTGAATGCCTGCAGAGCCCCAGAGGATAACGATAGATCTATGATTGATCCAAGCAGAGCCCCGGCAAAGCCCGGTTCAATTAAAAAGAAACACAACAAATTGCGATGATTATAGCACTTGTTTGTATTAAAACCCTTCCCCATTTCCCTTCTGTCCAATCTTGCATATTTAGGACTATTCGAAAATCATCATGAATTACTATTCTGGAACAATAGATATTATATTAAATGAAAATTATATATCAACGTAATTATTTTCACGTGCTTTCAATCCACCGGGGTTCTATCGGGATTGTCATGGGCTCTGTCTGGATTGACCCGGGCTCAGTGCCTAAGGTCAACTGGGGCTCTCCCAGCATCATCAGGGAAAGCACCGGCATAAACCGTAGTGTCACCTAGGCTCTGTCTGAACGCATCCTGGGTGGTTAGTTGGAAATTACCGTAGTGCTGCCAGGTTAAGTGTGACCACAACAATAATTTTACCCCCGATCATCCCAGTAACTTACTGGGGTGGTCCTGGGCTCTGCCTGGTGTAAGTGATACCGCAGCTTTAATTGTCGGGTATATTTATACATTTTTCTTATTCTTTGTCCAATTATTTTACATTTATAGTACTGTACAAAGCATATTTATTTACTCTTAGAAATTTTGATATTTTAAAACAAAAAAAACAGGCAAGCATAAACTATGAACGTCTAGTGTAACAAACTAACATCCGTTCCCCCCCCCCCCCCCCCCAATTATCTAACATTCGTCCCCCTGATACAGTTCAGTTCTGTATTATATGGCAATAAACATACATTTATAAGAAAGCCCTATAAATTTTACTGTTTTACAAGAAATGTGTTTGCATGTTATTTGATTTAAGTTAGTATAATGATTTGGTGTACCTATCCTTGTTTTTTTCTCTTCGTTTCTAACATGTTTGAAAATTTCATTTTTGCAAGGGAAAATAGTGAAAATTAGAAAGCAAATATTTTTATATCTAAGATGAATTTTCCAAAATTTTCTTTTTGTAACATTTATCAGAATACATAATTTTTTTTTTTTTTTTTTTTAAAGAGAAATAATAATTTCCTTATAATAAACTTTAAGATATGCAGACTTTAACCCCAAAGATCAATGTAATATAATATTTTGAAAATAAAAGTATCCAAAGTTATCCTTGTTTTAAAACAATAATGTTACAGGCACCTTCCCTAAGGTACATTAAAAAGCAAATATCGTCTTGTTTAACTTGATTATTTGACTTAGATGCTAATATATTTGGCCCATTTATTTACTCATGTGCAGCAGGCATAGACTGCCATTTTATTGCTGAGAAATTCACAAATTTGACCTTTAGTTTCAAATTCAAATTGAGGTCAAATCACATGTACAATAACAACTAGAGTTAAAAGCAAAAAGAAACACTTACCAACAAACTGCCCGCCACATAGATCTACTGCATAAAGGACATCATGCACGAGAATAAACTTCACTTGTCTACTAGTATATAAAACAAGCAGATATTTTGAAAATTTGTTGAAAATTAACTGCTGTATGATTGGGTCTCCAAACCGCTTTCATCTCATGCAGGCACTAATTACTTGGCACCCGCTAAAAGTTCAAAGCGTTTATGCGGCGACGGACGAATCGACACGATAATTTAGGGGTAGTCACCATACACGGCAAACTCATCAGTAAATTCCCGCCATTTATATCATAATTGAACATTTAAGTACTAAAATAAAAACTTCAAATGTATTCATTCATAAAAATACACTAGATGTTCCTAAAATTGTAATCAAACTGTACAATGATTTAAAAGTTGTAGAGCTAACACCCCAATAAAAACGTAAACATTGAATCGTCCAGTAATCTGGGTCATCGTCTGCTAATGTACTGATCACACTCGCCTCGGATGTGATACGCACTCAATAACAGTATGTATAGGTCATATTTTATTTTAAAAATTTTGAAATTAAAACGTGAAGATGATGTGGCGTTTGAAAGAAGATATTGATTCGGATACTTTGTACAATAACGATGAGGAAATCGGCGCTAGTAGGCCCTACAGGTCTGTGTCCGCCTTGAAGAAGATCTTCATTTTTTGAAGGTAAGTGGCTGGTATGTAACTGTTTCTTCATTACATAATATCACGGGAAATTAACATTTAATAAATTAATTGCAATTACTGAAACTACTGAAAAGTCTATCTTTCTATAAAATTCTCATTTTTTTTGGCTTCGTTCATGCCTATTTTAGCCTCAAACCAGTGTGGAAAAAAAAATAGTTTTATATAGAAAAGGTTTAGCTTTAAATAAAAACTTTAAGGAATTTGGCAAAGATGAAATATAATGAAAATTAATCTTTAAAGAAAATAATTTCAAACACTAATTTGTATTAAAAAGTATACTTTAATGATTATAATCATACAGATTATTTAGACTGTGCATGCAGCAGGAGTGAATTTATTGATCATTAATGGAATGCACACAAAAGAGACAAAAGTTACAGGGATTTTTTCCAGGATTTTAGGAACACAACACATGGTGAAAAAAAGCATGACTGAAATTTTAAAGTGATTAAAATAAATGGATGCAAACAATTTCTGTCTATGGTGGCATCTTCAATTATTTAAGCACTATTACAGTGAAGGAGCCCTTATTTGCAAAGATTCAATACTTTAATTTTGTAACTTTTAATTGGGAATTTTTTATGTGGATTGGGAAAATAATATACTATTTTCAATTGGGAATATGACCCAATAACGACTATAAAATAAGCCAAAAATCCCTGCTTGAGTTAACAAGCTGCATTGTATTTAAAGGATTTGTTGTGATATGATTTAATATTTATAACAGTGGGTGGTCAGTCAGGAAAACTTTATAATCAGTTCCAGATAAGGGCAACTGGTCAAGATACTATTGATTGATTATACTCTAAATCACTCATTTTATTCAATGACTTAATTTGCAGATCAAACATAATCCCAACTTTTCTAGGAAACACATTTAGACCTGTGACAGTATGCTCATTTTTTAATGTCGAAGTTGAGCTGAATTAGCGATATTCAATGTTACAATCTCTAAATGATCAATTAATGAAACATGGATTGACCAATAATTTATAATGACAAACAAAATGATAAGGGTGAAATTAAAATTGCTTAATATAAAAAAGACTGCCCAACTTTTATGTGACATCCGTGCTGTTCTACAGAAATTAGAAACTTCGAGTTTGACGGGAGCAATAGCGACCGTAGAATGTTTCTAATTTCTGTTAGAACAGCTACGGATGAATACTAACATATTTAGTGTCAACCTCATTACTGATTATGATTATATCAAAATGATCAATAGCCCATTTCACCAGCCTTTCGTAATTTATTGGAAACATTCGTAGACACGCATCACGTGGGAGGTTAAGTGCTAATATGTTTGACCAATGAAATACTGGTTCTCGAGTGTACATGTATTGTTTATATTTACGATAATGGCGTGTGATTCAGCGGCTGACGAGCGAGTGTTTATTGAATTAAAAAATGCTTATTCTTCTGGTAAACTCCCACAAACACTTTCATTTTGGTGTACGGACATAATCCCCTTCAGTCAAAATCCCTACTTTCATTTTTTAAACTACTTTCTGATGTCAAATTTAAACATTTCATTATCAGAATCCAATGGATTATCCTCCGCATCGGTCTCAAATTACGGTTTTTCTATTCAAAATGTAACCCGATTTCTGATTGGCTAATATTTAAATATTCTCGGGAAATACCTTGAAAACAACCGATGATTTACGACGCTACAACGTGGCGACCGGGAAGTAAAGCAAGTCTTATCTAGCCGCATATATGTGGCATGCAGGACAGGTGTAAAGTCGATATCGACTCGTTATCGTGGCGTTAGGTATAGGCGAGAAGTTTAAACTGACGCATTATCGTGACGTGAGGGGTCAATGAGTTAACCGTGCAGTATAACGGCATATTTCTCGAAATATTTCAACTTTGTGATAAGAATCCGCCATGTAAATTTCCTTTGTTTATTTTTATGTTACTATTATTAGTAATAGATTGTACATGCATCCACCAGCATTTGATTGGTCAGTTGATTATATACTCAGAATCTGATCGTAGCACTTCGCTAATTTACGTGAGAAATCGTAGTGAAATGGGCTATTGAAAACATTGTGACAAAATGTAAAGTTATTACGACTTTTTCCACGTTACAGCACTCAACATTAACATTTATAAGGATTAGCATAATATCACTTTAAATGTAATTTTAAGGCATAACAATAATAATGTCCTGTACTTAACTAAGGTATTCTGGTGGAACACTATTTCTTTAATAATTAAATGCCCACCCTGTTATAATAACTACCACATTTTTTCATTCATTCTGACTATTCTGCAGTCTGTACGGAATATACATTCAATAAGTTTTTTCCAAAGCGATGAGATTTACAACAATAATGTTACACATGTATATAATGATCCCGGTAACAGTCATGTGCATACCAAATTAGACACCAAATAAAAATGGTAAATTTTCAAATTTTTCTGGTACACACAGTATATTATCTGCATCTTCTACAGTAGATATAATACTTACTGGAACACAACATGCAGTTACAGTTCCATTTGCAGTGTTCCCTATATCTACAAATTAACTGCTACAATAAAATTCAAAATAACCTGTTCAGGTAAAAGCTTTTTGACATAGTTCAAGTATCTTTTTAAAGACACTTGTGTTTAGGATAAGTATTTAGTTACGCAGCAGGCAAGTCAACTATAACAGTAAAACAGTTATCAAATTGTGATTTTCCATCGTAAGGCATGCAGGCTTGCGATATAAATTAAAATATTGACAAATTAATCACCTGTCAGCGTAACGTACTAGGTAAGGTTGCCAGTTAATGTTCTAGTTAAATATCAATGCAAGACTGGTCCGAATTGTACTCTTTTTTTTTTTTTTTCTCGCGAAAAATAGTTTCTGTAAATAAACATGTTATTTTTGTCTTCACCTAAAGAAATATTTAGTGTTGTGTTAATTTCAAAAGACTATTAACCCATTACTTCATGAGCATTTTGTGAAAAATGGCTGTTTTCATTGAAAAGTCTCCCGTTACAAGTTCAAATTGCTATAATACTATAAAAACTGCTTCAACACTAATCAAACTTGGCACAAATGTTGACTGGACCATTGCACTTGCAACAACATGCTCAGGCTTAAATTTTCTGTTACCATGACAACGAGGGGACATCTCAAAATTGTCAAAAATCACTATTTTGCGTTGATTTTTTCCATCAAAATTGATTTCAAAGTGCTGCACTTTCTCAATGGATTGAGATAGAGTCAAATGCTTTTCAGCGTTGGTTACACGTTACCTTATGATCAATCTGGGGTCATTTACAGCCTCTCACAAGTCCAAAATTTTTCTTGGCGATGAGGGGGACTCCGCCCCCCTTCAAACCCCCCAAACAGAAGGGGGCACATCCCCCTTCTGGCAACCCCCTGATGTATCTTTTGGTTGGGGGGCCGCGCCGAAAAAGAGGTCACTTTTTTTAACAACATTTCTCAAACAAAAACAAGTGTTTGGGGCCTAAATAAGGCATTTTTTCATCATTTGAGACAACAAAAAGGGGGGGGGGGGTGGAAAAAGGCGTTAAAAGGCGTGCATATGAAGTAATGGGTTAAAGGGGCTCCACTGAGGTTTTTTGACATGACGGAACTGGAAATATTTTTTTGAGATTATTACTCTATTTGATGCAGATCTATACTAATTACTTACATGTGCAAAATTTCAGATTCTTAGCTTGCTCCATTTTTCCAGAATAATTATTATAATAGTGAAAAATGACCCAAAATTGAAAAGCGTTTAAACGCTTTACACATAAATCGGACTGAGAATAGCACAAACCAGGGAATTCCCCAGGCGCTTTTAGCGCATCGGCACCGATGCGCTAAAATTTCAGAACAAGAAATCCCGATGCGCTTAAAATTATCATAGCGCTTTAAAAAATGACCGATATCCCTTTCTTTTGTGTCTATAAGTTAACCCCAATTAGCCAAATAAACAAGCCAATATACATGTCCTGTGTAGATAATTACCCGAGGCGTATACACAATCCGATACACTGATTGCCTTTAGACTGTGTGACGTCACAGACACCTGTCATCGATGTCTGCAGACGACTGCTGGTGCACTTTCAGGTGTTGTCAAGTCAAGTCAAGTCAAGTCAAAAAACATTTAATTCTCTCATTCCATGTACAAACATGACATAATGGAGTAATAAACATGAATAAAGTATAATGAGGCTCAAATAGCAGTTAATTAACATACTAGCGAAAAATATAATTGAATTGTGCTTCCAGTTGTCAATTACCGTGTATTGAGATGGGTGCAATTTAACCGCGGCATGTGTGATATTTACATGTTTCAGGTAGGTGTAATAACTTTTATTGCTTTGATAATATAATTGGCATTAATTGACATGCGATATAACAGTTTGATATTTAGGGATGAATGGGTTAATTGTCTTGATATAAGTGTAATGTTCAATTTCATCTTTCACTTTCTTATGATCGTTACGTCTAAAGCAGTACTGTAGTATTAAGATTTCAAAAAATAATATGTCTAACATGAATAAGGGAAGCCTAGTTCACTATCAATTTTTTTTTTGGTGAGCAATGTCGTTGAAACTGTCTCAGGATCATTTTGCTTTTTTTTTTCTTTTTTTACTCTTGGGTTAAACTGCATAGATATTCAGAAATAAATTTGGTTGATGGCTACTTTAACATTGAAAACATTTACGACTGTTCATTATCAACTTGCAAATGAGTGAAAACAACAACAAAAACTTTACATCAACAATCCCACTTAGTGACAGCCAATTGGTCATTTTCTTTTTTAATTAAAAATGTCTTGTAATCTGTTTCTGTTCAGTGAATCCCCAAAATGAAAAAAAAATATTAACTTTGCAGGCCCTCTTTAATCGAGCCTGATGGACAGCTTTGTGAAGTGCAATCTAGTGTCCTACCCCTTAGCATTGGTTTGTCAGGACATACAGGAGCTGGCCAGGCACTTTGGTGTAGATATGGAGCAGTGCAGCAGCCACTGGCACCAGGTACATGCCAGTCTAGAGGGGACTGATCAGTCAGCCGACCAGACCATGACCTGGATTACTGGCAACCTTTCTACCAGTCATCCAGCTCTTTACAGAATTGCTGCTGTGGGTCTCCTCCTCCCAACCTCTACTGCAGGTAAGCATTATTAAATTCATTCATTCTTGAACATTAATGAAATTCCAATGACAGTTGCAGATGTGTAACACTTTGCTAGAAGTTTTTCAACATTTCAAATATGATTTTTTTACTTAGTAAAGTTTAAACAGGCTGGAAGTTTTAAATTTTCAAATATTCACATCAAACAAACAATATAAATAAACGACATGAGGTTAACATAAATGATTACTTTTATTTATTAATTTCAGATTTTGAGCGAGGATTCAGCTGTCTGAAGAGAGTTAAGACTGAAAACAGGAATTGTCTCTCTGTTAAAGTTCTAAACTATCTTCTTGCCGTCTCCCTTTAAGGACCCCCATTAGAATCTTTCAACTTTGAGAAGGCAGTCAAGGCATGGAATGACAACAAACCTAGAAGACAGGCCCACTTTTAATGATGTTAATGAAGAAAAAACAACTGAAATATACTCATTTAAATGGGACACACACATACATATAAATGTTGATCACATGTTGTGAACTTGTGTTTATATATAATTGTTTATTTATTTGAATTGTTGGAAATGGAAAAAGTAAATAATAAAAATTAAGAAAATGTTTATCAAGTGAAAAGCTTTCATTATTTGTTTTAAAACAGCCCACAGCAGTATCTTGACACCTTAAATGGCAAAAATTTTCGACACGCGGTATGGGGGTCAAAACCCCCTCCCGCACCCACCCCCGTCTTATTAAAAAAATGTAGCGCTTAAAAAAATTCCTGGGGAATTCCCTGCAAACATATGATTTTTAATGTATTTCTTTAAAAATTTTGGTTATATTTTATAAATATTGATGTTTTAAGTGCTCATGTATATGACTGTGAAAAAATTAAAATTTCATGTTTTACGCTTATAAACCTCAGTGGAGTTCCTTTAATGATTTGTGTTGTGTTAATTTCTATAAACTTCTCATTTCACTTTATTTTCAAAGTAATATCTGGCAAGTTGGTACAACCTAAAAATTATACTGAATACTAAACGGAATGAATAAATGTACACAAATTGTTTCACCTGGCACAAAATACTTGTGCACTGCACAAGTACTTTGACTCACTGCATACTACACAGGATAAAAATAATTTTCCGGTATATTTAAATTATTAGATACTATTACAAATTACTTTTATTTTCCAATTCTAAGTTAGACAACTTGTGATACTCGAACTCCTAAAGATGTCGGTTTAATTGCATCCTAATGATTTTACAAAATTTGCCATTAAGACATTTAAAATTCTATTTTTAGCTTGACTATTCGAAGAATATGAGAGCTATTGTAGTCGCCCCGGCGTCCGCGTCTATGTTGGTTAAAGTTTTTTGTAAATTCAAATATCTCAATTATTGCTTTAGATATTCAGTTGAAACTTACAATACTTATTTATAGTAACAATGTACATCAGATTGACAAGTTGGATAACTCTGCCTACAATATTGACAAAATTATGCCCCTTTTTAACTTAGAAATTTTGGTTAAAGTTTTTTGTTAAGTCAAATATCTCAATTATTGCTTGAGATATTCAATTGAAACTTACACTACTTATTTATAGTAACAATGTACATCAGATTGACAAGTTGGATTACTCTGTCTACAATATTTACAGAATTCTGACCCTTTTTAACTAAGAAATTTTGGTTAAAGTTTTTTGTAAAGTCAAATATCTCAATTATTGCTTGAGATATTCATTTGAAACTTACAATACTTATTTATAGTAACAATGTACATCAGATTGACAAGTTAGATAACTCTGTCTATAATATTGACAGAATTATGCCCCTTTATAACATAGAAATTTTGGCTAAAGTTTTTTTGTAAAATTATTGCTTGAGATATTCATTTGAAATTTACAATCCTTTATTATAGTAACCATGTACATCAGTGTGCAAAATTGCATAACTCTGCCTGCAATATTTACAGAATTATTTGCCCCTTTGAAACTTAGAAATTTTGGTTAAAGGTTAAAGGTCTTCAAAGATATTTACTTGAAACTTTACACATGTACTTAGGGTCATAATTGGAGAGTCATAATTGTATGTCACTGACCAAGTTCCATAACTCTACTCGCATTTAGGCTGATTCAATTCTTCCCTTTTCTACTTAGTCACTTGGTTAATGTTTACATGCAAGTTTTACATATCTCAATAACTATTAAAGATATTTATTTAAAACTTCACATATATGCATTTAGAATCATAATTGTAGGTCACTGACCAAGATCCATAATTCTATCTTGCATTTAGGCTGATTTTTCTCCCCATTTTCAACGTCAATTTTATGTATTCATAGGTAATTAGCATTATTATACTTAATAAAACACCCTTGTGACAACTTTTTGAATAGTCGAGCCAATACTGTCCTCCGACAGTTCTTGTTTATCTTGTACTATATTTTCTTCTACAGAACCTGTTATACCCCTTCAGACAAAGATTGTAAACTTTTGTGTACACAAAAAAATGCAACGTCATTCTCACATTCTCATAGCAGCACAGTACTTAAATTATGGTCATGTTTTTTTTTTCATGAATGAATAATTTTATATTTTTGCAGGTGAAGCTACAATATTTGTCTTGAACTTGACTTTACTAGCTGGGCTTATAAAGACAAGATATCCAGAAGTGATTTCATAGAGAAATGGAAATCAATAAGTAAGTGTTTTTTTCCTTTTAAGTTTATATAAAACTATCCAAGTCTTTAAATTTTATTTTGGTAAACAATAATGTAACCTTTCTGAATTATTGGAATACATGTACATTATTGTTTTGAAATTAGAACAGTCCATTAAAAATTAATTATACTTTTCCTTTTAATCTTCATTTTTAGCTCGACTTTTAAAAAAAAAAGATAAGTAGAGGTATATAGTAACAGTCATGTCGGGTTGCCATTGTCGTTCGCAAATTTACTTGATCATAATTTTTTAAGTTCTTGGTGCATTAATTAAATGTCTTAATACCTGGCCACAACAACCCTTGGGACAAGACCTTCAAGTATACCAGACTAACCTTGACCTTCAATCATAAGTGCACAGATTAAGATGTAAAATTGAACTTCAATATCAGCTGGCCTAGATCAATTTCTTGGCCTTTGATGTACAGCTATGAAATTTGGACCACAAGCACAGTTTTAGATGTAAAATATCAGCCATCCTTTTTTTTTTACATAGTTACCTACTTTCTTGTCCTTTAATGTACAGCTATGAAATTTGGACCATGTGCACAGTTTAAGATGTAAAATTGAACTTTGTTATCAGCTGACCTATATTTTGACCTAGTCATCTATCTTCTTGTCCTTTGATGACTACAGCTAAGAGATTTGGACCCTGTCAGTGTGCACAGTTTCAGATATATTATTGAATTTCAGTTTTTGTCAAATATCAGATTTCCTAGATTTTGAACTATTGGCATACTTTGGCTTTTTTTTTACTTTTTTCTAAAATTTCTGTTTTAACATTTCTTTAAAACTTTAAATTTTAATTTGTTTGCATTTGGACAAAACAACACATGTTACCAAACATACATGTTCAATGATTTAGATATGACCTTGATCTTTAGATGACATTGACAGTTGTTTAATTTATAATAAGGGGCAACAAAACATGAAAGCCATTTTTGTTCCCTAAAATGGTGACAGAATATTTGTCTTTTTTTCTCAAAAACTATCAAAAGTTAATCTGACAAACATTAAATATTTCTTGACTATCAAGGAAAGGTTAGTCTGCCAAGCACTTTTCTAGAATTAGGCCTGCTTAGAACTCCTGTGTTGCTTCTAACTATCTAGAACTTGTGAAAAGTGGAGCTTGGTCTCTGAAAGAATTTGATTAAATAAACATCTAAACTAATTAATATTCAGTATATCTGAAACCACTCTAGGTATTAAGTTGGTAAGGTACAAGAAAGGCGTATCTATACGTCGGGAGATAATGTACAAAAAAGGCATAGCTGTCTGTGAGTCGGTTAAGTTGAATAACTTTAAAATATATTCTTTTTGTTTGCAGTACCTAGAAGCATGTGAAGTGGAGATGAAGTGATGCTGAGAACTTTTAAGGTATATTTTGCTATTTTTGAGTAAACCTGTGACATAAAGTGTAACTCCCTGCATTTTAGAATTCCTTATTAGCTTGACTATATGAAGTATATAGAGAGCTGTCCTACTCACCCCGGCGTCTGTGTCAAGATTTCAGATTAAAGTTTTGGTGCAGTAAAATATTTTGGACTGTAACTTTTTATTGTGCCCCCACTATAGGTGGGTGGGGGCATTTAGATTTACCCTTGTCCGTCTATCCGCACTCACAGGACAGTAATTATGTGGCTAGAGGGACAATAGGTAACTGTTCTTTCTCTTTGATGTCATTCATTTCGTTATGCTTTTATGTGGCTATTTTCTTTTGTGTGGCTAAAAAGAACAATAGAGAGAACAATAAAGTAGCCACATTATTACTCTCCTGTTAGAACGTCCATCCATCCGTCCATTCTCTTTTTGTGTCACACGTAACTCAAAAAGTAATTGATCTAGAGTCATGAAACCTTACAGGAATGTTGATCAGCATGTGAAGTTGTGCACCTGGGTATTTTCATGTGAATATATTATTTAGTATCTTTAGAGTTATTGCCCTTGACTTAGTAAAAATTTGCAAGTTTCAACAGTTACTTGTGTCGCAAGTAACTCAAATAATATTTTACCTAGAGGCATGAAACCTTACTGGAATGTTTATTAGCATGTGTAGTTGTTCACCTGGGTATTTTTGTGTGGATATAGTTAGTATTTTTAGAGTTATTGCCCTTGACTTAGTAAAAATTTCCAATTTTCAACTTGTGTCGCACATTGCTAAAAAGTATTTGACCTAGAGTCATGAAACCTTACAAGAATGTTGATCAGCATGTGTAGTTGTGCACCTGGGTATTTTTGTGTGGATATTTTTAGTAATTTTATTGTTATTGCCCTTGACTTAGTAACAATTTACACTATTCAATTTGTGTTGCACGTAAATCAAAATTTATTTGACCTGTAGGCCTGAAAGTTTACAAGAATGTTGGTCAGCATGTGTACCTTGGGGTTTTTTTGTGGATTTATTCAGTATTTGTAGTATTTGCCCTTTACTTAATAAAAGATTTTTAGTTTTCAACTTGGGCACATGTAGCCCAAAAAAAAATTTGACATAGAGACATAAGATTGACAAATCGGTGGAGTGTGCGGGCACCCGTGTCCTATGGACATATTTCTAGTTTATTCAGGTATCAACTTCAAACTTCAAATATATGTTCCTTATCAGTAAAATATTTTTGACTGTTACTTCTTTATTTCATAAGTGATCAACTTCATACTTCAAATGCATGTTCCTTATCATCAACCACAGCTTATGTGACAAGGTTCATAACTCTAGCACCAATATTGCAAGAATTATCTCCCCATTAACTTAGTTTTTTTTCTTGAAAAATGTTATTTTTTACCATAACTTCTTTAGTTTTATAGATATCTACCTCAAACTTCAAATACATATTCCTTATCATCAACCAAATCTTATGTGACAAGGTTCATAACTCTTAAAGCAATATTTTCAGATTTATCTCCCTTTGAACTTAGAATTTCTTTTAAGAAATATCATAACTTCTTTACTTTTTAGCTCACCTGTCACGACATCTCATAAATCACTGAGCCAATTTCGTCCAAACTTCACAGGAATGTTCCTTTGGTGGTCACCTTTAAAAATTCCTCAAAGAACTAAATTCCATGCAGAACTCTGGTTGCAATGGCAATCAAAAGATTTAAATTTCTTCTTCTGAAAAACCCAAAGAGGTAGACCTTAGATATTTGGCACAATTCATCTTCTAGTGCGTGTCTACCAAGTTTGTTCAAATAAAAGCCCTGGGATCAAATTTGGCCCCACCCCAGGGGGTCATTGATTTTCCCTATATGTGTATAGTTAAAACTTAAAAAATCTTCTATAAAAAAAACCGAAAGAGCTAAACCTTATATGTTTAGCATGAAACATCTTCTAATGGGTGTCTACCAAGTTTGTTCAAATAAGAGGCCTTGGATTTAAATTGGCCCGCCCTGGGGGTCATTAATTTTCCTTATATATGTATAGCAAAAACTTATAAAATCTTCTTTTAAAAAAAACGAAGAGGTAGAGCTAGGGTATTAAGAATGAACCATCTTCTAGTGAGTGTCTACCAAGTTTGTTCAAATAAAAGCCCTGGGGTCAAAATTTTGCCTGCCCCAGGGGTTCATTGTTTTTCCCTACATGTGTATAGTAAAAACTTCTTTAATAAACCCAAGGAGCTAGAGCTAAGATATTGTAATATTGTAATGGGTGTCTACCAAGTTTGTTGAAATAAGGGCTCTGGGGTTACGGGTCATTGATTTTCCTAATATGTGTAAAAAATCTTATAAAAACCCCAAAGAGCTAGAGTTTAGATATCTTCTAGTGAGTGTCTATACCAATTTTGTTCAAATAAAAGCCCTGTGGTACAAAATTATCCCTGCTCCGATGGGGGGGTGGGGTCATTGTTTTTCCCTATATGGGTATATTAAAAATTAAAAATTTCTTCTTTTAATAAACTCAAAGGGCTAGGGCTTAGATATTTAGCATGAAACATCTTCTAATGGGTGTCTTATTGTAAAATCCCTTGGGTTAAAATTTGCCTGGCTCGTGAGGCCTATATACAGGTGAGCGATTTCAGGGCTATCATTGCCCTCTTGTTAAGGTATCTTCTTCAAACTTCAAAAATGTTTTTCTTATCACACATGTTGTGGCAAGGTCAATAACTCTAGTGTGACTATTTCAAGAATTATTTCCCCTTGAACTTGGAATTTATGTAAACAAATATAACTGCTTGTCATAAGAAGAAATAATTTTATATTATAATTGATTTTCCTATCATAGTTTTGTCTTCCTTACTGCATCCAGTATTTAATTAGTCGAGCTTCTCTGTCTCCTGTGACAGATCTTGTTGTTGTACATATTCAGTGTCAATTTTTCCTATTGTTTAGTAATTGCCCTTTGTCAATTTTCATACTTTAATTTTGTCCTGGCCATAGGATGATAGATCTTATAGTAAAGAAGTAAAGTGCAAAAAAAACTGGTACTCTGCACTTCTTATTTTTTTAGTTATTGAGTTATTGCCCTTTATTGATTTTCAGGTTATTTCTCCTAAAGTGTAAAAGCTTTGGACATGAAAATTTTGTAATTTCAAGGCCTTGAACTAAATTTCATCTTCACATTGAATAGTTTAAGGGCCTTTAACTTAGAATGAAAAATAATCATGTATGCAAACAAAATTGGAACTATTAGAATGAAAATTAATGGTTTGTGTAAACAAATTTGGAACTAGATATTAATATTATTATCAACATTACAATTTTGTCTGCATGCGTGAGCATCCATGGGGTGATGACACATTTCTAGTTTTATCTTTCTAAAATGCAATTTCAGAAATAGTGTAATCAATTATCACTCTTATCTTTAAAAGTGACCTATATACCATATTTACCAATCTATTACTATAGCATAATAATATACATGTATAATTACTTATCATTATATAATAAAGATGTACATGTACCTGCACTGTTTGAAAATTGCATCTATTTTGACATCAAGCATACTTGACTCCTAGCATACTTGACTCCTGGCATCAGTGTTTGCTCAAAATTTCCTATATTTTTGTGTGAAAGGGTCGTAACTGAAACTTTATCAATAATCTTTTTTTGCATACGAATAATATTACCTTACCAATCAAAAATAAATCAATATCTGAATGAATTTTAGCCCAATTCCAAAATCAAATTAGAACTTCGTAGGATGATAGATCTTATTAAGAAAAATTGCAGTGCACAAGAACCCCTTACTTTGCACTTCTTTTATTTTGAGTTAGTGCACTTTGTTAACAATAATACTATATTTTTGTACAGGCCATTTCTCTTAAACAATAAAAGCTATTGACTTGAAACTTCATAGGATGATAGACATTATTAAGAAGAAGTACATTTCACTAGAACCAGAAGTCTGCACTTCTTATTTTTTTAGTTATTGCCCTTTGTTTATTATCATATTTTTTTGTCTGGGCCATTTCTCCTAAACAATAAAAGCTATTAACTTGAAACTTCACAGGATGATAGATCTCATTAAGGAGAAATGCAGTGCATAAGAAACGGTACTCATCACTGAAACAGTACTCATCACTTCTTTATTTTTGAGTTATTGCCCTTTGTTAATTTTCATTTGTTATATAGTTAATTTTTGTCCGGGCCATTTCTCATATATAACAAAAGCTATGGACTTGAAACTTCAGAGGATGATAAATCTCATTAAGAAAAATTGTAGTGCACAAGAACCAGTACACTGCACCTCTTTTATTTTCAGTTATTGCCCTTTGTTAACAATAATACTTAAGTTTTTTACAGGCCATTTCTCATAAATAAAACATAGAGAAATAAAGCTATTGACTTGAAACTTCATTGGATGATAGATCTCATTAAGAAGTAGTGCAGTGCAAAAGCACCGGTACTTACCACTTTATAATTTTTCAGTTAATGCCCTTAGTTAATTTTCATTCTTTATTTTTGTCTAAACCATTTTACAGACACTTGGGGTATGGAGCTCAAAACGCCTTTAAAATCCAAATAAAAAGCATATTTGTCAATCCCAGCACATGTACTATATGATTTTTTTTCAAAACGGCTTATATTAAATTGTCTGATATATATGATCAGTACATGTGCTGGGATTGACAAATATGTTTTTTATTTGGATGTTAAAGGCGTTTTGAGCTCTACATCCCAAGTGTCTGTGGACCATTTCTCACATATAATAAAAGGTATGGACTTGAAACTTCTGAGGATGATAGCTCTCATTAAGAAGAAGTGCAGTGCACAAAAACCGGTACTCATCACTTCCTATTGTTTAGTAATTGCCCTTTGTCAATTTTCATACTTTAATTTTGTCCTGGCCATAGGATGATAGATCTTATAGTAAAGAAGTAAAGTGCAAAAAAAACTGGTACTCTGCACTTCTTATTTTTTTAGTTATTGAGTTATTGCCCTTTATTGATTTTCAGGTTATTTCTCCTAAAGTGTAAAAGCTTTGGACATGAAAATTTTGTAATTTCAAGGCCTTGAACTAAATTTCATCTTCACATTGAATAGTTTAAGGGCCTTTAACTTAGAATGAAAAATAATCATGTATGCAAACAAAATTGGAACTATTAGAATGAAAATTAATGGTTTGTGTAAACAAATTTGGAACTATTATACTACTAATATTATTATCAACATTACAATTTTGTCTGCATGCGTGAGCATCCATGGGGTGATGACACATTTCTAGTTTTATCTTTCTAAAATGCAATTTCAGAAATAGTGTAATCAATTATCACTCTTATCTTTAAAAGTGACCTATATACCATGTACTTGTTATCCCCCGCCGAAAATTTTCGGCGGAGGATATAGTAATAGTCTCCGTCCGTCCGACCTTCCGTCCGTCCTTCCGTCCGAAATTTTTGTCCGGAGCATATCTCTAAAAGTATTTAAGTTATCAACTTGAAACTTCATAGGT